TAGATAGATAGATAGATAGATAGATAGATAGATAGATAGATAGATAGATAGATAGATAGATAGATAGATAGATAGATAGATAGATAGATAGATAGGCTTTGCTTCGTTTTAACTGTGAGGATAGAAACTGTAATAACCAATGTCCTTTGTGCAGTTTTTCTCACACTCTCTCGGTGTCAGCAGCTCAGACTTTAACGGGGACACTGTCTCTGAAACCGGTGTTGCAGAAGGTGAGATCCTTCTCCGCTTGGCCTGTTCAAAGATACCAGAATCGCTCGAATCGATGGATTTGATGGAGGACGGCGTCTCAATCCAGCTCGACTCAGACGTCATGTCTTTAGGTTTGGTCTCCTCCGAGCCGCCGATGGGTGATCTCTCTGTGGTGATGGAGTCTCCCTCCTCGGACAGGTAGCTAGTGCCTGTTCTGCCACCGATGGTGTTAGTAGGCCAGCAGGAAAAGACCGAGCTGGATTTACTATTTACACCACAATACTGCGGCGGCGTGCGTCCTCCCCAGCCAGACGGGTCTGCGTAATAGCCAAGAGGCCGATTGGAGCAGCCTGCAGTCGGCAGGGGAAGAGCCTTCACTCCGGCCGCTGCGTAGGACAGTAAGGTGGCCGCGTTACCGGCAAAATCAGCGGCGTCGTATGCCGAGGCAGCAAAGTCCAGTCGGTTGTTGGCAGGGGTGACAAACCATCGCTGCGGGGGGGTGGCAACACTGGGCTCCTCGGTTTGCTGCGGGGATAGCAAGCTGTTGCCGAGTGGGACGCTGCGCTCCGTGCCAGGCCCAGTCCCCACGCCAGGGTGAAAGCGAGATTTGGCATAAGTGCTGACAAATTGGTCCTGCAGGAAAGAGCTAGGCATGGCATATCTCGCACCCGGCACGATCTGTGAACGCGGAGAGTCACCCGGTGATGGAGTTAGGCGGTCAATGTCGCAGCCTGTGTAGACACTGAAAAGATGGAGAGAAAAACAGAGAAGCAATTCAGAAACTAAACAGTGTGTTGTAGTCTGTTCTCAGAACATTAAACAAATTAAGGTCAACGGGGCCTCTCTGTTTCAGTAATGTAGCAGTTTAGTAGACATGAGGAAAGTTTGTTTTCCATTACTATTCTTTCTGAAGGTGAGATAACTGCAGGGTTCGAAAACATCTGCAAAACTATCTCAGTCTAGATCCAAGCTCGAAATACGCCGGGTGCCTTACACAGTACGAAGAAAACGTCGTCAAATAGATCCGACTTGCTTTCTCAGTTATCGTGTAGCTATTTCCTTGTTTCGAGTGTGATTTTCATTTTCTCGTCACTCATTAGTACGCCTTTCATTTACAATGAAAAACAAGCTCGAATCAAATAAAGGAGGAACCTTGTCATACATACAGTGAATCGGTACAGTTACGAGCTCTGGACGCAATTGCGCGCATTTATTACACGCAAACAAGTGCATATGTGTGTGTTATGGTGTGTGTTATGATAAAAAAAAATCGCATTGCTTCATTTGCAGTCAGAAATTTTATTATTAATCCAATGTTCAATTAATTTTCCCTGTAAAAGTACATATTTTATTTATCATGCGAACTCCTTCCAACTTCAAAAGCAATACAACGAATTTTCAACAGATTTATCAATACATAAATTAAATTTTTGCAAAGAAAAAACCCAAGCTAAGTGGCTATTATAGTTTCTAATTAAAACTACAGAAGCATAAAAAGATACACACACACACACACACACACACACACACACACACACACACACACACACACACACACACACACACAAATTACAACCAAATACAAAGAAGATATTTTGAAGGAAGGAAAAAGAGAGACAGAGAGACGATCTTACGTGTCATAGTTGTCCCGAAATCCTTTAGCGAACGGATTGTGGTCAATTTTCAGTTGCGTAATCTGTGGGGGAAAATGCATAGAAGGATCCATAAGGTGTGTTCCAGACGTTTAGCGCAGTGCAGCATAAATGCAAATAATATTAACAATTCGTTTAATTTTGTTCTTTGTTTTTACGCGAAAATGTGTTTGTCAACAGGAAATTATTAATCCCAGTGTGCGTCTTGCTTTAAGATTTAGGTTACAAAATTGTATTCGTATTAGAACTTTATTGTTCTACTTTGTTTAGAGAGTTTTTTAAGTATATATATATATATATATATTGTAGAATTCCCGATATTTTGAATCGTCTTTCAAAAGGGTAATGTTCAAAGTATAAATGCTGCTGTGCGATTGGTGTCTGGTGACATTTCCAGTGTTGTGTCAGATATTAAGTGGTCTTACATCGGTATTCTGGTAAGCTGTGACAGCGATGAATTGCGTTTCTGAGAAGGTGAAAGTCTGGACTCTTCCTGGCTGGTTGGTGTCTTCTGTCCCATCCTCGTTTACTTCCACCACATGGAGCCTGGGCTGGTACTTGTGGAGAGACTGAAGAACCACCATCTGGAGATCCAATTAAAGACGTTTGTCAGACTTTGAATTTCAAAGTTTGGAAAGATGATTTGAGAAGAAAAATAAACTAATTTAGCACAATTGTGTATTCATATTTCGTGTTTATTATAATGACACACGCGACTATTGTTTCGAATTAAATGACACAGAGAAAGCAATACGACACATCTAAAAATAATAATCAGGAGATGAATAAAAAGGAAAAAATAAACATTTCAGTTTCCAGCTCGTATTACATATAAATATATATTTATATCATTCAGACATTTCTTATCACATTGTTACCTGCCCCGTGTTGTTGGAGGCACCTTTGTTGTTTGTGAGCTTTAGCTTTCCAAATGATATTTCTTGACGCATCCAGTGCGCACCGGTATTTGGCGAATCCGGGTGCATGTAAACTCTATTGCCTATTAAAAAGAAGAAGAAAAAATAGGCAAAGAAAAGAAGTAAAAATATATATCACTATTTAGAAACAAATTCCTCACAAATTTTCATTCACAATTTTTACCACATATTTTAGTTATGGGTATAAAAACAAAACACTTTTTTTTTACCATGTTCTCAAAATCAAACTGTCGAGTAAATGTAATCGTTACAAAGCGCAGATGTGATACCTATGACATTCGTGTCTGCTTTTCCGCAAGGCACCCACTTTCCTCCTTGAAATCGCCAGTGATTTGGATCGGCGAGTATTACATCCACAAATATATTGTAGTGGGCAGTTGGGTCAAGGCCAGAAATGTTGAAGCTTAAAAATGGAAACATTCGTCTGCGGGGAAAAAAGAAACACAGGCTTAGAAAATGTCTCTATTTTTTTCTAGTTTTTCATTTTGCGTCTTTATTTAGTTTTTGTTTTATTTCTTTGTTTGTTATTAATGAGCTTGCCTTGGTGTTATACAAAGTTCATTATCGCTTTTATTATTTTTTAGTTTTTTCAGGGAAATAATCTTAAATGATCTTAATACGCGCCCATTTAAACTTCGATCTAAAAATGTTCCAGTAACGCAAACAATTATCGAATATTGTTGCATGCCTCTAAAAAAAAAAAAAAAAAAGCGAGTGCGCGTACTTACCGTCCTTGCTTTGTGATGATCATCTCTGTTTGGTGTCTGTGAAACTTCAGCCACAGGGCCCTGTTGCACAGATACACCTGCGCTTTCCCCGGAACCAGTCCTGCTTGCGCTGAGGAGAACTGGTAAAAAGCACCTCCTTGGTATGTGTGTCCATACTGTTGCGCGTAAGGGTAACCCGCTGTCGGGTAGCCTTGAGGAGAAGTGTTGGTTAAAAGGCTGTTGTAAGCTCCATTGGTTATGACCGGATGATGTGCCATGTATCGGCTGGGACTTCCAATAGAAAAAGCCGGGTGCGCTGGTCCATGCTGGCTCGGGTAAGGGAACATGGCACTGGGAGCTGCTGAGACTGACTGCGGCTGGGTAGATGGAGAAAAGATGCACCTTTCTCCTGCAGATCCATCGAAATTATGACGGATGTCAGAGACTCCGTGAAGATCAGGAGAGAGTTTGCCCCTCTGGACGTCCCCTGATGCGTCCTTGGAGTCGGGAAAATTGTCTGCCTCTGACTGATTCGTCATCTCCCTGGAGTTTTTTTTCAGAGGTGAACTTCTCTCCAGGTTGTCACTTGCAGATATAATAGGATGGTCCTGCAACGAAAGCTCTGATCCATTGGAGCTCGAAAAGCCACTGCCCACATTCATAAATTTCTTGGAGAGATCACTCGCCGGCGAGATGCAATTCTCGACCTGCATAGCTCAATAGGAAGCTACTATTAGCTCAACCTATATCACAAGCTTTTGCACACGCCTTTCCTAATCTAACACTACGAAACGCCTTACGATGACTTGAGTTACGGAAGGCAGCAAATTAGCCAATTGACACCATCCTGCAATCAGGAAGGATTTTCTTTCCATCACTCTCGCTGCTTTGCTAATGAAACAAGTACTGCGATTGGTTAACTCAGGGCTGTAATTTAATTAGACAGCTCTTAATTAGGACGATAAGAAGAGCGCTATGAGCAAAGTGATTTGTTTGTAGTGTGACATGGGCCTATATTTGAATAAAACATATGGAGACAGACTCTTTTTTAGCAGTATATGAAATAAACAAAAAACAAACCAAAAAAAAAATAGAAAAAAGATATATCATAGTTATGAAGATTGTTTTTGCTGTCAGCTGTGACGACAGCGGCGTTATTTACCTTTATCCACGTTATTTACCTATTTATGTGCCATGAGTGCCAAAGTATGTCTGCCGAAGAAACCAAGATATATTATTAACACGCCAAAAATGACAGTCCATGACAGGCGGTGCATCTGATGCCTTAAAATGTTTGTGATATAGCGTGAAATCATGGCGTCCCACTGAAGATGTGTTTATGAGTCCCAGTCCTGGTAAATATTTTATGCACTAAAGTTATGAACCCGTGCACTGGTAACAGGGGCTGCTGTGCCAAACACAGCTCACTGCCAGAGAGACACAAAGTAGGACTCGGAGTTTTGAGTAGAAATTAGCATTATGCGGTTTAGTTAATTTAATTTTTGTCCGTTTGAGAAAGCAAGCGTAAGAAGGAGATGGGAGAAACATTAAGTCCGAGTTGTAAAATCTAATTACTCGGGAAATATATTTAAAGACAGAATAAATTTGATCTCAGGAGGGTGCAGGTCTCTGAGATAACTGACAGTAAGTTTGAGAATATCGACAGCAGATAGAGAATAAATAAACTCTAAAATAGAAATGATTGTTAATCAGACCACTTCGAAAATGCACCAAGCCCCCCGGCGCGGTAAAATAAATCAGTCCTGCAGCATGGCTCCCAGCTTAACTTACTAACAAGGTTATTACCAAGTTAACACTACCGCTGTTCAAAGGGAGTGGTTTGATATACATTTCCTCGCATATACATTTCCTATGATTGCGAGGCCTTTGTAAATTGTCCTGAATTTCAAACTTTCCACTTCACTGTTCGCCAGAGCCACGGTGTGTCATTGTGAAGGTTATCCTCTGTCCGAAAGGCATCGATTCAACACTGGCAACTTTTACACTTCCGTTTAATCGCATTATTATTACCAGGTGATTCTCATAGATGATAAGAAACACCACTAACTATCAAGGAACCCATTACAATATCACCAACTGCCTCCGTTGATCATTTCTACTTCACTGAGTAACTTCTGGTTTAGTTACACTGCAGTGTTGTGTGGAAGCTAAAGAGAAGACCAATAAAGGTCCATTGCATTGGTGAACACAGCCACCAGTTTGTATCTCTAATGAAGAGCTATGAATTTCTGAAGCTAACAAGAGGGGTCATTACAGAAAGGCTACTGGTTCCAACAATCTATTCCTGTGAAACATGCAAGCACGGGCTTGCCTGTGCCCAAGGAAAAGAGGCCACTCTCTGCTCTACTCATTACAGGATTATGGTTCACTTCCATCGCTGATCTTTAATAAGCAAAGTGGGCTTCCTTCCCCCCCTCAACAAGCCAATTGTTGAATCACCCATGCAGCAACTCTGTGTTTCCCTAGGTAATGCACTGCCTGTTTATCAGATTAAGTCATCTATTTATTGGCTCAGCTAGCTAGTGGACATAACCAAAGAGGAGGGGGCTGATTTGTCATGCCCATAGCCAGCATTGTCCCTCAGGGAGATGTAGAGCAGGTTAGGATCTCGGCTCCCTGCCTTGTACACACCCTCCATTGACCAGCTGAGCATAATCTAGTGTGAACAGCAGTTATGCCTTTTCAATTTTCAAATAATATTATAACGGCTGTATCTGTATTATATCACCCATATAAAATAAATCAAAGACAAAAAAAACCCTCAAACACAAACTGCCTTCAATACAATGAAAAAAAAATTTTTAAAAGAAGAAGAAGAAGTATATATCCATTTAATTCTAAAGAGCATATGTTTTCCACATAACAATATTAATTTCAGCAAAATAAAAAAACAATATCTGTGTGTTTTTCAGCCACTACATCACCATTTTTTTTATTGTTGTGCCAAAAGAATCTGCTTGCCACCTGGGTCTAATCCAATCAATGTGAATGACAAGGAGAGAAAAAGCCTGAAAGTGAGCACCAGCTTAGGGACTTTACCTAATGCCCAGCACTGTCACTTCAATGATATGACCACAGCACACAAAATGACAACAAAATTATTGCCAGCAAGGATATGGGGACATAGTGTGCTACTCCAGTCAGGTGAAATTGCTTTTTCTGACTATGAAATGGCTTGTCTCTTGTCGGATGGGTAAACATTTCCTTGTCAGGCCAGTAATAAGGAATGAGGCACACTGGGATGAACTAAGAGGATAGAGCCAAGGTTATTTGGGATTCATGACAGGTAGTGGCTTATATTACAGCAGCACTAAAAATTTCATGGGAATGCATTTAAGATGGACTTTAAGTTATTTATATGTTGTTTGCTAGACGTCACGTTGCAGTTTCCATCAATAAATCAAAGTCAAAGACTTCGTTTATTATTTTTACTGTGGTTTTTTGGCTTGTTTATCTTTATTTGTTTAACCAGGAAACGTGCATTTACCTTAACTCTGTAATTAACCAGCGCCACTAACCCGATCAAGTGTGGCGGTGCTTTGTGCTATGCTAACATAACTATTGCCCCCTGTGGTTTCTTGCCATCAGTGATCTGCTCTGTCAGAGGGAATCAGGGTGCTTTCTGGCAGAAAAGACAGCTGGGGGGGCTGCTAAGGGGCGGAGTGGACAGTTGTGGCTTTTAAACCCTTATTAGTCGTCCTCCCTGGACACACAGAGACACGCGTCTACGCAGAAGTGCACTCCTACACCTGCTCATTATTGATGTCCTTTAAGGGTCGCCCAGTCAGACCAGACTCAAACGCGATTCTTTACCGCAAAGCTCACAGCAAATTAACCTCAGGACAGGTGATCAGGATGTTCAGTGTTGAGTAATAATACCATAACAGAACTGCACTATAGGGATTTTTCACCTTAAACCAAATGCACATATCCTTCTATCGTTCTAACTTATTAAAATCCTGCAGCAGCATTTCCCATTTTAAATGCCCATTTTGTTATTGGGTTACACCGTTTATTCCTTCAGCTTCAATCTATGTTACCTAGTTTCTTACATTTAATACTATTTAATACAGTGTATTTATTTATTTATAGTTATTAATTTGCAGTTTTATTTTTTTATTGCAAACAACTAATCCAGATGTATTATTTAACATGTATATTTTGCAAGGTCATAAGAATATGAACCGTCCCACGTGGCAGACAATTAATATGTCATCTCACACAGTTACTTACCATTTACTCATCTCTTAAAGGCACACATTTTTTGTGAATTTTTCCTAACTTTGGCATGAGTTTTTATTTATTTATTTATCTATTACTTTCTTTTTCGTGTGTGTGTCACAGGACAATGACAGTGTGGCACACCACTGAAATAACAATCTGATTCATAAACTGAGCTTCCTCTTTACAAAACCTATACAGGAAAAAGTATGTCATAATAATATGCTTAATTATAAATGTGTGAATTTCGTCTAATACCAATTCTGCAGCAAAGTAGCACTTGTGAAACACTGCACTCCTCAGGGTACTGCAATCCCTGAGAGTAATGCCCACAGCTCCTTCATGCTCTCGGATGTGTATTATTTGGCTAAGCAAATTGCATGGATCTAATGTCAGGAAACACAAAGTTAGCGGAAGGGCTAATGTCCCTACCAAAACTTCTTTTATCACCTGCTACTGACCTGTTATCAACTGTTTGGTTTCCTGCTAGTCTCTTTAAATTTTAAAGAGCCGGTGTGACCCAGGGAGTGCAGTTGGGGTTTGTGACCATTTTGTTATTTCTGCTGCCATGCACTGTCAGACGTCTGCAAGTGAAGAACATGGCCACTGTCCCCACTAAGCCCATAGCATAAAAAATTCACACTAACTCTACTTTTTAAGCCATTTCTGATGAAGAGCACAGAGAAATGAAACTGACTTATGCCAAATGAATATCATTGAATCGCTGTGATTGTGAGGCTGATGTTTGTAACTTTGAAATTATTTATAAAACAGCAGTTCCATCTTAAGAGTGGCCATGCCATGAAGTGTGCACTTGCTCCTCAGAGAATACTCTGAGGTTTTTTCGAGCACTATAAACCTACATCTGAACAAAAGAAAACAGAGGGCTTCAATCCAGCTTAAGCTTTGGCTTTTTACAGTACAGTTCTGCTTAGACAGGAAGAAAATACCTACTAATTACCCAGTCACAGCTGTCTGCCAGTGTATTGTTTAATCGATAAGTGCGCTGACATGATGATGAATGTTTAATCCAAAAACAACAGCCAGGTATGTGATTTGGTGCCTAAATATTTTAATTACATCCGTGACAAACTGATGATTTTGACCCGCAACATAAGTACTTTTAAAATAAAGCGCAAATGTTGCACAGATCACTTGAAAGAAAGCAAAATTCTCGGTTTGAAGAGAAAATATTTGGGGAGGACTAGGAGCAAACAGGCGACTGTCGTGTTACAAGAATAATCTTCATTAAAATCACAGGCAACAACACCAGGCCAACACACAGCTCATTGGGAATGCAGTGTGAAAAGAGAGGCCCACAGATTATCACTCTACGTAACTCATGTTTAATTTATCCAGGAGCAATATTGTCAAGAGCCCTACCATTCCAAAGAACTAGGCACAGATAAAAGCTGGAATAAGACTTAGGGAAGCCCAAAAATAACACAGGCTTCGAGTAAAATGCTGCAAAATGTAGCGAACACACTTG